CATTCTAATTAAAAGTTATACTTCTGTTAACTAAGAGAGCGTTCAGTGTATTTTTGTTGCTCCCATGCAAGATAGATAGCTGAACAAAACATTCTTCTCAGTTTCTATCTCTCTCCCACTTGGACGTTCTTTCTATTCTTATATGTCTATGCTAACTAATAGATATGATAAAAAAAAAGTCCATCCAAGGCCAAAAGACAAGGATTAATATAAAAAAAAGTATACAGGACTGACTTAGTCTTACGTTACATTCAGTGAGACTTAAATTACGTAGATTGTTAATTAGCTCCAACGGAAGTGACCTTAATCACTTTTATAATTCTCAGACGTTCATGAAATAGTGCGTCGCAGATTTTGACATGGAAGACGACTTGTACCGGAGTGTCACGTAACGCGTGGCCGCGGCACGATCTGGGTAGTGAATTCGCGACGTGAAGGCAGAGGAGTACGGGTGTCGGGTCGCATCTAGCATCTGCAATCGTGCTCGCGTGGTCCCAGTGACGTCACGTCCGGCCGTTTGTCGAATAAGCGAAAACCGCGTAACCGGACTCTATCTGCGGGAAACGATTTCGTAAAAGAAGGAGCCGCAGACGCGCGGAGCACGTGTCCGCGAGAAACCAACACGGAGGCGTGGCGAGATATCATAATTCAACCGTAATCGACATTTACTTCGCTGGCTAATTTAATCCCACAGCAAGAACGACTCCAGTTTGATCGTTCCCCGCCGTTCGACTTTAAATTTCGAGACCTCATCGAATCATTTTCGCATTTTCATTAGAAAAATCCTCTGCTTTGTTTTTATTTATACAGTAAATATAAACGAGTCCACATTTCTTGGCTGTAACACTGAAATGATGGATTATTATTATTATTATATTCATCGTCGCTTATGTTAATAATAAGAAAAGAGCGAAGGAAGGTTCGTCTTTCCAGCGTTTCGCGAGCATCCGACTAGAGGATGAAATCGCGGAGGAAAGAACTAACCGGGCGCGACGGTAACCGGGGGGGGGAGAGCGCAGCAGGGCAATGAGATCGGCGAATCAAGGCAAGCCAAAGGGTTGAGAACAAACATCGTTAATTTGCACGCAGAATCCCGCTGGCTGGGGCCGAAAGGTCAACATTAAACCGCGGTATGTGTATGCTCGTCAAACACTCCGCCGCTGGACCGTGTAATCCAGGATTCGCGGTACGGCCAAGTTTCGGTTGCCCGCCGTGCTACCCTGCGCCCTTTCAGCCGACCTAATTGTCTAATTGGCAAATAAATCCCATTGTTTTCCAATGGCTCGGATCGATACTCGCGCTGCGGGAAACACTTTTGTGCCCGGCCGGAAATCGAGCGCCGATGTGCAGTCGAGCAGTTTTTCGGGTGCCACTAGACTCGCCGATGTTTGACGCCGCGGGTGTCGATCGCCTTTATGCGCTGATCATCCGGGCCACTTCTTCCCGTCGGGCTGCGACCCTTTGCGTCCGTCGGCCGCAAAAGGCAGTCTTGAAAATCGCTACGACAAATGATTTCATGATTATTCGAATTATCCCTTCTATTCTATTTTATATAAATGTATTATTAAAATGTGTAAAATGATCTTATTTATGAAATGTAATATTAATTTTATGTCTGATAGTCGGCTCTTCGACTACGAAGATTCTCGAATATTATGTAACTGATAAGGATCAGATGGTAGGGTCACGCGTTCAGGAATTAAACGGTAGGGCGGGGTACCGAGAGGACGCAGGGTCGAACGATTATCAGACAATAGTTTGTTAGTGAGGCTCACCTGGTGTATTGTTCTCTAGAAACGTGGATTCAGCTTCAGCCAGCAATCGTTACCTTCTACACATTTAAATCATTCGATATGTACAATCGATTGAGTCTCTTACGTGCATACTAATTAAGTTCTATGCTAGAATCGTTTAATTACGTCTCTTAATTTTGGTCCATCAATTACCTCGACGTATCTAACTATTGAATTCGTTAACCATTTTAGATATATTTAATTTGTTGTCCTTTATTTAAACAATAAACAATTTTCATTTAAATTATAACTGGAAATACAAAAAAAAAGTTTGCAGTATATTGTTTGTTAATGCTAAGATTAAAAAAATAGCTCGTTTCATCAGCCTGGTTCCTGTTTATAAATGTTTCATATTTACATAGAAAATTGTGCTTATATACTATATACAGACGTAATTATATATTAATCAATAAAATTATGGCATTACTCAATTTGTGCCGAAAATTGCCCAAGGATGATGATTACTCAGCAATAAATTATCGCCCTACGATGAGTTTAAGTTAAAGCTTAATTTAAGAAACTTCTAAAG